AATATATATATATATAAATAAAAAATATATATATATAAACAAAAATATATATATTTAACTTACAAGTTTAGATATTTTCAACAAATTTTTGTAAAAAATTTCGAAATTATTTCGAAACTTATATCACTTTCAAAAAGCTATTTATCTTATTCTATTATTTTATTAGATCTCGCTTCAATGTTAGGAAAGAAAAACGAGAATGAGAACCGTCAATTCGTAAATGAGTTTCGAATATCAATAAACGTACAGATGTAGAGGCAAAAACTCAAGGATGGAAAGCTGCTTCTCTTTGATTGTGAAAAGTTTGAGAAATACGAAGAATCTTGCAAGGGCAAATAAGATTTTGTTATTTTTCCTCAAAGGATTTGTTCGTACCAGTGAGAATGCGGAACGGACTTAAAGTAGAATAAAATTATTAGAATCGTTAATTCTGATAATATACATAAAATTCTAATAAAAAGATACAACTGAAATTTATATTCTAGTTAGGAAAATATAGCAAGATTCACATACAATAATTTCACATTATTGCAATGAAAGATAATGACTTTTATTATATTTTCTGTAATGTGTAAAATTTCAAAGAATTTAAAATAATAAAGATGCAAAGTCCTATTTAATAATAGAAGTGTAAAGTCTCTCTAGTTATTAATATTCATGTCTCTTCACATGACTTTTGGAAACTCTTATGCAAAGCACAAGAGCCAACATAACAGCCATGAAATTCATCATTAATTCTTCTTGGTAAAATAAACTGTGACTTCGACGTCTTCATATACATATATTTGTATACTCCAGCAACTTGAATATGCGTGAACATTGCAAATTTTTCCTTTTATACAATTTTAGCACGTCTCTCCACTTTATCTTTACCACCTTCGTCAATGTTTTTACGCGTCGTTGACTGACAAATACAAAAGGCTGCTGCTGATTGAAAATCGCGGCTGAAATGATTTACTTCCACGAAATGTTAAATTATATAACGAGTATAATACTGATTTCAACCAAGATTAGAAATTAGATTGGAGTCTGATGAAACCTTATACAACAAGATACTCCGATTCACAATTATTACAAAATAATAATTATTACATAATTGAGATGATTTTTAATATTCACGAGATAATGACAATAGAGGTATCTTTCTAATAATACTTTTTTTTCTTTAGAGAAATCGCTTACCATGAAAACGATTCGGATGATATACATTTTATCTTAATCGATATCTCTAGAAATTATCTCGCGCTGTAATATTGCATCATCCTACAAAATTTACGCAGAAGAATGACTCGACAAGCGTACAACAAAAGAATATAAGTATAGTATTCCAACACGTATTCCTGCCTCTTTGCCTCCTCCCATCTTCCTCTTTCCCGAAGTGTACGCGAGTTGGAAGATACCGACCACAAAATCTCTGGGATCTCGATTTCCCCTCAGACTCAAAAAAAGGGGACGGTAGAAGGGAAAGGGGAGACGACGGCCGGGCAACTCCACATATGCGTGTCGGTGATATAGGGTCGTCCCCTAATTCTCCTATTCCTGAACCAAATGCCGCCTGTAAAAAGGATGATGGTAGAACGGTAGATGAACGCGTGGCACGTACTGTATATTGTCGACAAGTACGTACTATAGCAAATTGAGAGACGCGCGTCGGGGCTCCCCTCCGTTGGGTATCCTTCCCCATGCAGGAACCAATCTCCCCCCTCCTCCCTCCCCCCTCCCCTTGCCATTCCCTATGTACGTGTCTGCTCTGGCGTTTCGTCGGTCCTTTGGTACCCTCACCGAGTCCCCTACCTTCCCCTGCGTCTCTTCACCGGAGCCCCCTCCCCCTAGATGACACAACAAACAACCGCGACTTCTCGTCAGTTGCCGCTCAAGATATTGCTGTTTGTGCGCACGCACGTACGCACGCCGACTACATTCTATGCTGCGGCTGTCTCACGGCAATTTTTGTGGGGGGAAAAAAAAAGAGACTCCGTGTGCGAGGAAAGGGAAGCGTTTATTTCCTTCGCGCGAGAGAGGAACAAAAGACGGAGCATCTAGGGAGTCGCGGCGAGCCTCGCCGCTGCACAATTTTGTTTCGCATCGTGCGTACACGAAGCAATACCTCGAGTGAAGGAGGGGACAATTTTGTCGGGAAGGGGGATGGAGGAGTGAGAGAAAGAAAGAGAGAGAGAGAGAGAGAGAGAGAGAGAGAGAGAGAGAGAGAGGGGGATTGGTGCGATTGACAGTTGGTAGTTAGTGTCGCTTCCTCGATACGCGACGGCGGTGCAGCCGTGTTGTGTTCTCTAGAGAATACCGTAGCTAGCTCGAGTCCCCGCGGTATCGACAGGGGTAGAAGAGGGGGGAAGGAGAAATATCTCACGTCTTCGAGAAGGGAACCTCGCCTGCGAGAGTACGAGGCCCCGGCGGCTTTTAGCTCTTTATCTTTAACGCGCGCTCGCGAATGGGAGGGATCGGTGAAAAGAGATCAAGGGTAATCGTTTGAGAAATCAAAACGCTGAAGAAAGAGGAAGATCCTTGCAGCGCATGACGCCGCGTTTGTTTACACGTCCGTCGTGTCGCGGTTGGATACTAATAGAACGCGCGGGAATTCAATAGATAATGAACGGAAGAATATTTGTCTGAAGAGATAATTGTAAAAGGAATTCTTCGCGGAAAAATTGTGGAAAAAGATAATTATCTCGACTGAGAAAAGCGAGAGAGAGAGAGAGAGAGAGAGAAAGAGAGAGAGAGAGAGAGGGACTGAGAAGGGAGACGAAAAAGGAGGAGCTGTCGAGGAAACGGAAGAAGCGAGAAGAGCAAAGACTCGTCCTGCACACCTCGTGTTTTCTCTATTCCTCCTCCTCTCCGCCTCATCGGCGCTTTTATTACTCGCTCGGTAAATGATTCACCGGATTCACGCGGACGCCGATTTCTCGCAAGAAGAACTGGAACACGTCGAGGACTCGTCGTCGGGAACTCGTCCAGCGTGGTTCGGTGACCGATCTCGCAAGAAGAGTCGAGGGAAGGAAGGATCCCCGGCGGGGATAGAGGGATTACGGAGAGAGAGAGAGAGAGAGAGAGAGAGAGAGAGAGAGAGAGAGAGAGAGAGAGAGAGA